CGAGCACATTCTAAAATGCGCGACATGGAATGATGTAATGTGTTCACACCTACACGGCGATTACCCTGAATTCGTAACAGACCTGGTTCTGCCTCACGCTAGGTTGTTATAATACGCTTAATTTTTTTGTAAAGATATTGGGGGCGCTCTTCGTCCACAAATTCGATCATTTCTGACTTATTTGGCGTTATAAATTTTCATTCGTTTCTCTGAAATAGCGCTGCGAAAAAAAATAGGACGAAGGCACGTGGGTCTGGGCGGGCTGGAGCGGAGCCAGGCTAGACTCGAGATGTGCGAAAAAGAGTGAATCTCGCTAAAATTCCGAAGCACAGATTATTTATTTCTGTATTTCCCTTTAGCAATTCTTATCAGCAGGAAAATTTAGGTTTCAATGGGACCCCAATGGATTAATATGAGTCAAGTATTAGCTTTATCTGGTTGTTTGTGCAGCACCTAAAGTTGTTGAGGTGAATTCAATTTTCAGTTCATTTTTGGTCAAATCAACTGTCATTTTTTTCCCAGGTTATTTGCGGATTATGGACCATGAAAAAGATAAGATTCCCCACCATTGTCTCTGTACTTCCTAATTTGATTGATGGGTCAAACGCATCGGACCGGGTGTGGCTTTTTTTTTTCAGCTATCATGGAATTCCTATCCAGTGTTTGTGGTATCTCACTGACTTCATATAGTGAACACATTCTGTACTGTTCATGCTACAATCTCTCTCTCTCTCTCTCTCTCTCTCTCTCTCTCTCTCTCTCTCTCTCTCTCTCTCTCTCTCTCTCTCTAAGTCATTGCTTTTGAGCTGAATTGCATTACATTTAGTTACCGGCTATCATTAGCATTAGAGTGTTCGGTTGAGATCATTCTAATGACATAATTCTTGGTGACCTCACTGCGACTTGAGATGGTACGACTGCAGAGTCCGTAGAATTAGAAAACACGGCTACCGTGAACCTTACTGTGTGGAATTCTGTGGTTTTTCTTTTAAGATGTTGCTGCAGTTTATAATAGGAATTCAGTCTTAGAGAAAATGGCACCCGTCATTCGCACTGTCCTGACCATAAGGACCCGATAACATTGTCCATTCTGCTGTTTTTAATTCAATAGTAGAGTCATTCTTCCAGGGAGCAGGGATGGGAAGCAGTAAGTGAACTCCAGGCAATGAATGGTTAACCTTTGAGAAGGTGTTTCAGTCACATGACTAGTCGAAGCTCCACCCCCCAAGCTCTGTTTTTGAGGCTCAGGGGCTCAGGAGGAGATGGCGAGTGCCTGCACTGCTGGATTACTTCGGCTGTGGTCATGTGATGTTGGCCCTGTCTGGTCCTCACTCCTTATCTCCTGCCATCATGACTTCTCTCTCTCTCTCCCTCTCTCTCTTTATCTTTTTCTCTCTCTGTCACATTCCCCTCCCTCCCTCTCTCTCTCTTTCTCTCACTCTCATATCACGCTGCTGGTCCCTGCTTATCGCCTGTCCATCACAACATCTCTCTCTCTCTCGCTCTCTCTCTCTCCGTCTCTCTATAATCACTCTGCTAAAACCCTCCTTACACATCCCTCCATCATTTCATCTCTTTCTCTCTAAGGGTGCTTTCGCGCTACACCCTAAGGTCCAGTTCATCTGGTAAGTGTGAACACAAGAACACTATGCTCGGGCACAGTACGCGAGTCCGCTTGGAAGAGGTGGTCTCTGGTACAGTTCATCCTTACTCCTGCTAAATGTGAAAGCAACCGTACTTGAGACGAGACGGGGGGACAATCGTACCTCGTGTGAAAGCGCCCGTAAATCACCTCCAATCATGTCTCTCTCTGCCTCGTCATCTTTCTTTTCTCCAAATGCCCTCTCTTCTCTCCCTCCCCTCTTGTTTCCCAGTTTATGGTGTGTGTGTGTGTGTGTGTGTGTGTGTGTGTGTGTGTGTGTGTGTGTGTGTGTGTGTGTGTGTGTGTGTGTTGTGTTTTGTGTGTGTGTGTTTGTGTGTGTGTTTGTGTTTGTGTGTGAGTGTGAGTGTGAGTGTGTGTTTGTTCTCAGCATGCCATCTCTAAGACTCCTCCCGGCCCAAACTTCACACCTTCAGTTGTTAGTCACAGCAGTATTGCCCATTCCATCCACCACCTCCTCCATCTCCCCCCCCTTGGGCAGCTAAGGAAGTGTGTTCGCCAAAGCAAAGTAAAGCTGACTGTACAGTGAATTACTCTACTTTCATTTCTCCGCTGTACAATCATGTGTCTCAAAGGCATTGGCAGTACCAGTTAAATTTAGTTATGAGGGCTCTGTCTTGATCAGGAGAACTGGCAGATTTATCAATAACCAACGGGAATATTGGGCAGGATATGGCATGCAAGGTATGTGCATCCATTGTGCAACATGCCCGACCGCCGAAGTTCGTTTAATGTACGCAACAAAAAATTAGACAGCTGAAACCCGTGATCTTTTGGTTTTCGAGAACAATGCCTTACCACTTGGCTACTACGCCTGATCTCCCTTAATTGAATGCCACAATCACCAGATTTGCCGTACTCTAGAATAGAATCCTATTTTTTAAGAAAGCAGTTACTTCATGAGTTGAATTTCAAAACGGGAATTCAGAATCTGTTTTGGCTTTGAAAAACGTGTCAATTTCAGATTGCCTCAAGTTACAGATGTGGACTCAAGTTAGGATTTTCGAGTAACAAGACCAGCAACGTACTGCCCGGCCACTGATGGGACGAAGGTCAAATACCATGGTCACCAGACTCGCCACAATGTATGAGAAGGGCGATTTTTAAAAGATATGTTGTAAGTGCCTTGTCTGGAATCCAGAACCTGTTTTAGCTGAACATAGGAGGAGGGCCCCCAAAATCCTAATTTTTTTAAGGCAGCAAGTGATTTTTCACTTTTTCACTTTTTAGGGGTCTGGAGGACTCAGTTCAGCGAATTTTACTGTTGAACATGTAGAATCCCAATTCCGAAATAGTTGGGACGAAGTATAATTTATGAATAAAATCAAAATGCACTGACTTTCAGATCACATGAGCCAATATGTTATTTACAATAGAACATAGATAACATTTCAAATGTTGAAACTTAGACATTTTACATTTTTATCCACAAAATGAGCTTATTTCAAATTTTCTGGCTGTAACAGGTCTCAAAAAAGTTCAGACACAGGCAAAAAAGGGCTGAAAAAGCAATTAATATAGAAGAGAATCAGCTGAAAGAACATTTAGCAAGTAATTAAGTTAACTGGCATCAGGAGTGTAACATGATTGGCTATAAAAGGGATGTCTTAGAGAGGCTGAGTCTCTCAGAAGTAAAGATGGCCAGAGGCTCTCCAACCTGTGAAGGCTTGCGAAAAAAAAATTGTGGAATACTTTAAAAACAATGTTCCTCAACGTCAAATTGCAAAGGCTATGAAGGTCTCATCATCGACAGTGCATAACATCATTAAAAGATTCAGAGAAACTGGAAAAACCTCTGTGCATAAGGGACAAGGCCGAAGACCTTTACTGGATGCCCGTGATCTTCGGGCCCTCAGACGCCACTGCATCACTCACCGGCATGATTCTGTCATTGACATTACTAAATGGGCCTAGGAATACTTCAAGAAACCACTGTCTGTAAACACAGTCCGCCGTGCCATCCACAGATGCCACCTAAAACTCTATCATGCAAAAAGGAAGCCATTGTTGAGCATGATCCAGAAGTGCTGCCGTGTTCTGTGGGCCAAGGCTCATTTAAAATGGACTGTCGCAAAGTGGCAAAGTATCCTGTGGTCAGACGAGTCCAAATTTGACATTCTTGTTGGAAATCATGGGTGTTGTCTCCTCTAGGCTAATGAGGAGAAAGACCACCCCTCCTGTTATCAACGTTCAGTTCAAAAGCCAGCATCTCTGATGGTATGGGGATGCATTAATGCATATGGTGTGGGACACTTGCATGTTTTAAAAAGCACCATGAATGCTGAAAGGTATATAAAGGTTTCAGAGCAACATATGCTCCCCTCCAGACGACATTATTCCAGGGATGGCCTTGTAAATTTCAGCAGGACAATGCAAAACCACATACTGCAGCTATTACAACAACATGGCTTCGTAGTAGAAGAGTCCTTGTGCTGAACTGGCCTGCCTGCAGTCCTGGTCTTTCACTGATTGAGAACATTTGGCGCATAATTAAAAGAAAAGTCCATCAAAGGAGACCCAAAACTCTCCAGCAGCTGGAAGCCTGTATTAAACAAGAGTGGGATCAAATTCCAATGGCTAAACTCAAGAAACTTGTCTCCTGAATGCCCAAATGCCTCAACTCAGTGTTAAAAAGAAGAGGGGATGCTACACCATGGTAAACAGGCCCCTGTCCCAACTTTGTTGAGACCTGTAGCAGCCATCAAATTTGAAATGAGCTCATTTTGTGGATAAAATTGTAAAATTTCTCAGTTTCAACATTTGATATGTTATATCTATTCTATTGTGAATAAAATACTGGCTGGTGCGATTTGAAAGTCATTGCGTTTTGATTTTATTCACAATTGAAACTTTGTCCCAACAATTTCGGAATCGGTGTTATAGGTCTCCTTCATATTTGGGAACTTTCCCACCACCAAACTAAGTTTTCGGATAATGGTACCATTGGTGGGGGACTTGTGGGGGTCTGAAAACCATTCCAGGGTCTGGTAGAATGACATTGTCGCCCAACTGGCCACCTAGTGTGAGGAGCGTAATTTTTCTAAAGTATGTTGTAAGTACCTTGAGTGGAATCTAGAACTTGCTTTAGTTTAACAGAAAATGTAGATCTGTAAGTCAGAGCCTCTAGGCCAGGGATGTCCAATCTAATCCAGAAAGGGCCGGTGTGGGTGCTGGTTTTTGTTAAAGCCCAAAACTAACACACTTGATTCTACCCACCTGGGTCCTGATTGAATCCCCAGATTAGTTAATTAGGGGAATCAAGTGCTGTAGCACTGCTGGCGAGAAGAAAAACCTGCACCCAGACCAGCCCTTTATGGACAAGATTGGACACCCCTGCTCCAGGCACACATGGGGATCAAACCCATGATCTTCAATTTACAAGGTTGACGCCTTGCCGCTTGGCCACTGCACCTGAAAGGGACTGGTGGAATGGCATTGTCACCAGACTCGCCACCCTGTATGAGGAGCATAATCTTTATAATATATGTGGTAAGTACCTTGAGTGGAATCTAGAACTTGTTTGAGTTTAACAGAAAATATAGGTCTTTGATTCAGAGCCTGCAGTCACACATGGGGATCAAACCCATAATCTTCAATTTACAAGGTCGACGGCTTGCCGCTTGGCCACTGCGCCTGAAAGGCACAGTTAGAATGGCATTGTCACCAGACTCACCACCCTGTGTGAGAAGCGTAATTTTTATAATGTATGTTCTAACTTCGTGGTGTGGAATCTTGAACTTGTTTTACTGTAACAGAAAATGTTGGTCTGTAAGTCCGAGCTTCCAGGCTCAGATGGAGGTCCATCCCATGATCTTCGGTTTACGAGACCGACGCCATTGCCGCTTCGTCACTGCGCCTGAAAGGGGTTGGTAGAATTGCATTATCGCCAGACTCTCCACCCTGTATGAGGAGCGTAATTTTTATAAAGTATGTACATTGAGTGGAATCTAGAACTTGTTTTAGTTTGACAGTAAATATTGGTCTTTGATTCAGAGCCTACAGGCACAGATGGGGGTCGAACCCATGATCTTCGGTTTACAAGACGAACGCCTTGCCGCTTGGCCACTGCACCTGAAAAGGATTGTTAGAATGGCATTGTCATTAGACTCACCACCCTGAATAAGGAGCGTAATTTTTATAATGTATGTGGTAAGTACCTTAAGTGGTGTCTAGAACTTGTTTTAGTTTAACAGAAAATATCGGTCTTTGCTTCAGAGCCTGCAGGCACAGATGGGCGTCGAACCCATGATTGTCAGTTTAGGAAGACCGACGCCTTGCTGCTTGGCCACTGTGCCTGAAAGGGACTCTTAGAATGGCATTGTCGCCAGACTCGCCACCCCATATGAAAAGCGTAATTTTTAGAACGCATGTTGTACATACCTTGAATGGAATCTAGAGCTTGTTTTGGTTGAACAGAAAATGTTGCTCTTTCAGTCAGAGACTCTAGGCCCCAATGAGGGTCGAACCCATGATCTTCGCTATATAACACCAATACTTTGCCGCTTCGTCACTGCGCCTGAAAGGGACTGTTAGAATGGCATTGGTGTCAGACTCACCACCCTGTGAGAGAAGCGTAATTTTTATAATGCACGTTGTAAGTACCTTGTGTGGAATCTAGAACTTGTTTTAGTTTCACAGTAAATATTGGTCTTTGATTCAGAGCCTGCAGGCACAGATCGGGGTAGAACCCATGATCTTCAGTTTACAAGACAGACGCCTTGCCGCTTGGCCTCTGCGCCTGAATGGGACTGTTAGAATGCCATTGTCCTCAGACTCACCACCCTGTAGGAGAAGCGTAATTTTTATAATGTATGTTGTAAGTACCTTGTGTGGAATCTAGAACTTGTTTCAGTGTAACAGAAAATGTAAGTCTGTAAGTCCGAGCTTCCAGGGGCAGATGGAGGTCAAACCCATGATCTTTGGTTTACGAGACTGACGCCATTGCCGCTTGGTCAGTTCGCCTGAAAGGGGTTGGTAGAATTGCATTATTGCCAGACTCTCCACCCTGTATGAGGAGTTTAATTCATATAATGTATGTATTTTGAGTGGAATCTAGAACTTGTTTTAGTTTAACAGAATATATCAGTCTTTGATTCAGAGCCTGTAGACACTGATGGGGGTTGAACCCATGATCTTCAGTTTACAAGACCGACGCCTTTCTGCTTGGCCACTGTGCCTGAAATGGACTGTTAGAATGGAATTGTCGCCAGACTCACCACCCTATATGAGGAGCGTAATTTTTGTAATGTATGTTGTAAGTACCTTGAGTGGAATCTAGAACTTGTTTTAGTTTAACAGAATATATCAGTCTTTGATTCAGAGCCTGCAGGCACAGATGGGGGTCAAACCCATGATCTTCGGTTTAGGAGACCGACGCCTTGCCGCTGGGCCACTGCGCCTGAAAGGGACTGTTCGAGTGGCATTGTCGCTAGACTCGCCTCGCCATATGAAAAGCGTAATTTTTAGAACGTATGTTGTACATACCTTGAATGGAATCTAGAGCTTGTTTTCATTGAACAGAAAATGTTGCCCCTTCAGTCAGTCTATAGGCCCCGATGAGGGTCGAACCCATGATCTTTGCTTTATTACACCAATACTTTGCTGCTTCGTCACTGCGCCTGAAAGGGACTGTTAGAATGGCATCGTCACCAGACTCACCACCCTGTATGAGGAGCGTAATTTTTGTAATGTATGTTGTAAGTACCTTGAGTGGAATGTAGAACTTGTTTTAGTTTAACAGAAAATATCGTTCTTTTATTCAGACCCTGTAGGCACAGATGGGGGTCGAACCCATAATCTTCGGTTTACGAGACCGCTGCCTTACCGCTTGGCCACTGCGCCTGAAAGGTATTGTTAGAATGGCATTGTCGCCAGACTCACCACGCTGTATGAGGAGCTTAATTTTTATAATGTATGTTGTAATCACCTTAAGTGGAATCTAGAACTTGTTTTAGTTTAACAGAATATATCAGTCTTTGATTCATTGCCTGTAAGTATAGGCAAGGGGTCAAACCCATGATCTTCGGTTTGCAAGACCGATGCCTTATCACTTGGCCACTGTGCCTGAAATGGACTGTTAGAATGGCATTGTCGCCAGACTCACCACCCTGTATGAGGAGCGTAATTATTGTAATGTATGTTGTAAGTACCTTGAGTGGAATCTAGAACTTGTTTTAGTTTAACAGAATATACCAGTTTTTGATTCACAGCCTGTAGGCACAGATGGGGGCCGAACCCATGATCTTCGGTTTACGAGACCGACGCCTTGCCGCTGGGCCACTGCACCTGAAAGGTATTTTTAGAATGGCATTGTCGCTACACCCGCCTCCCCATATAAAGAGCGTAATTTTTAGAACGCATGTTGTACATCCCTTGAATGGAAGCTAGAGCTTGTTTTAATTGAACAGAAAATGCTGCCCCTTCAGTCAGAGTCTATAGGCCCCCATGAGGGTCGAACCCATGATTTTCGCTGTATAACACCAATACTTTGCCGCTTCCTCACTGCGCCTGAAAGGGACTGTTAGAATGGCATTGGCGTCAGACTCACACCCTGTGTGAGAAGCGTAATTTTTATAATGTATGTTCTAACTTCGTGGTGTGGAATCTTGAACTTGTTTTACTGTAACAGAAAATGTCGGTCTGTAAGTCCGAGCTTCCAGGCTCAGATGGAGGTCCATCCCATGATCTTCAGTTTACAAAACTGACGCCTTTGCCGCTTGGTCACTGCGCCTGAAAGGGGTTGGTAGAATTGCATTATCGCCAGACTCTCCACCCTATATGAGGAGCGTAATTTTTATAAAGTTTCTAACTTGAGTGGAATCTAGAACTTGTTTTAGTTTAACAGAATATATCAGTCTTTGATTCATTGCCTGTAGGTATAGGCAGGGGTCGAACCCATGATCTTCGGCTTGTAAGACCGATGCCTTATCACTTGGCCACTGCGCCTGAAATGGGCTGTTAGAATGGCATTGTCGCCAGACCCACCACCCTGTATGAGGAGCGTAATTTATGTTGTAAGTACCCTTGAGTGGAATCTAGAACTTGTTTTAGTTTAACAGAAAATAACAGTTTTTGATTCAGAGCCTGTAGGCACAGATGGGGGTCGAACCCATGATCTTCGATTTACAACACCGACGCCTTTCCGCTTGGCCACTGCGCCTGAAAGGGACTGTTGAAACAGCATTGTCGCCAGACTCACCACCCTGTATCCGGAACGTAATTATTGTAATGTATGTCGTAAGTACCTTGAGTGGAATCTAGAACTTGTTTTAGTTTAACAGAAAATACCAGTTTTTGATTCAGAGCCTGTAAGCACAGATGGGGGTCGAACCCATGATCTTCGGTTTACTGAGACCCGGCGCCTTGCCGCTTTGGCCACTCGCCTGAAAAGGATTCTTAGAATGGCATTGTTGCTACACCCGCCTCCCCATATGAAAAGCGTAATTTTTAGAACACATGTTGTACATACCTTGAATGGAAGCTAGAGCTTGTTTCAGTTGAACAGAAAATGCTGCCCCTTCAGTCAGAGTCTATAGGCCCCCATGAGGGTCGAACCCATGATCATCGCTTTATAACACCAATACTTTGCCGCTTCCTCACTGCGCCTGAAAGGGACTGTTAGAATGGCATTGGCGTCAGACTCACACCCTGTGTGAGAAGCGTAATTTTTAAAATGTATGTTCTAACTTCGTGGTGTGGAATCTTGAACTTGTTTTACTGTAACAGAAAATGTCGGTCTGTAAGTCCGAGCTTCCAGGCTCAGATGGAGGTCCATCCCATGATCTTCGGTTTACAAAACTGACGCCTTTGCCGCTTGGTCACTGCGCCTGAAATGGACTGTTAGAATGGCATTGTCGCCAGACCCACCACCCTGTATGAGGAGCGTAATTTTTGTAATGTATGTTGTAAGTACCTTGAGTGGAATCTAGAACTTGTTTTAGTTTAACAGAAAATACCAGTTTTTGATTCACAGCCTGTAGGCACAGATGGGGGTCGAACCCATGATCTTCGGTTTACGAGACCGACGCCTTGCCACTTGGCCACTGCACCTGAAAGGTATTTTTAGAATGGCATTGTCGCTACACCCGCCTCCCCATATGAAAAGCGTAATTTTTAGAACGCATGTTGTACATACCTTGAATGGAAGCTAGAGCTTGTTTTAATTGAACAGAAAATGCTGCCCCTTCAGTCAGAGTCTATAGGCCCCCATGAGGGTCGAACCCATGATCTTCGCTTTATAACACCAATACTTTGCCGCTTCCTCACTGCGCCTGAAAGGGACTGTTAGAATGGCATTGGCGTCAGACTCACACCCTGTGTGAGAAGCGTAATTTTTATAATGTATGTTCTAACTTCGTGGTGTGGAATCTTGAACTTGTTTTACTGTAACAGAAAATGTCGGTCTGTAAGTCCGAGCTTCCAGGCTCAGATGGAGGTCCATCCCATGATCTTCGATTTACAAAACTGACGCCTTTGCCGCTTGGTCACTGCACCTGAAAGGGGTTGGTAGAATTGCATTATCGCCAGACTCTCCACCCTATATGAGGAGCGTAATTTTTATAAAGTTTCTAACTTTAGTGGAATCTAGAACTTGTTTTAGCTTAACAGAATATATCAGTCTTTGATTCATTGCCTGTAGGTATAGGCAGGGGTCGAACCCATGATCTTCAGCTTGTAAGACCGATGCCTTATCACTTGGCCACTGCGCCTGAAATGGACTGTTAGAATGTCATTGTCGCCAGACCCACCACCCTGTATGAGGAGCGTAATTTTTATAAAGTATGTACCTTGAGTGGAATTTAGTAGTTGTTTTAGTTTAACACAATATATCAGTCTTTGATTCATTGCCTGTAAGTATAGACAGGGGTCAAACCTATGATCTTCGGTTTGCAAGACCGATGCCTTATCACTTGGCCACTGCGCCTGAAATGGACTGTTAGAATGGCATTGTCGCCAGACCCACCACCCTGTATGAGGAGCGTAATTTATGTAATGTATGTTGTAAGTACCCTTGAGTGGAATCTAGAACTTGTTTTAGTTTAACAGAAAATACCAGTTTTTGATTTAGACCCTGTAGGCACAGATGGGGGTCGAACCCATGATCTTCGGTTTACGAGACCGACGCCTTGCCGCTTGGCCACTGCGCCTGGAATAGACTGTTAAAACAGCATTGTCGCCAGACTCACCACCCTGTATTAGGAACGGAATTTTTGTCATGTATGTTGTAAGTACCTTGAGTAGAATCTAGAACTTCTTTTAGTTTAACAGAAAATACCAGTTTTTAATTCAGGTCCTGTAGGCACAGATGGGGGTCAAACCCACAATCTTCGATTTACAACACCGACGCCTTACCGCTTGGCCACTGTACCTGAAAGGGACTGTTAAAACAGCATTGTCGCCAGACCCACCACCCGGTATGAGGAGCGTAATTTATGTAATGTATGTTGTAAGTACCCTTGAGTGGAATCTAGAACTTGTTTTAGTTTAACAGAAAATACCAGTTTTTGATTCAGAGCCTGTAGGCACAGATGGGGGTCGAACCCATGATCTTCGGTTTACGAGACCGACACCTTGCCGCTTGGCCACTGCGCCTGAAAGGGATTCTTAGAATGGCATTGTTGCTACACCCGCCTCCCCATATGAAAAGCGTAATTTTTAGAACGCATGTTGTACATACCTTGAATGGAAGCTAGAGCTTGTTTTCGTTGAACAGAAAATGCTGCCCCTTCAGTCAGAGTCTATAGGCCCCGATGATGGTCGAACCCATGATCTTCGCTTTATAACACCAATACTTTGCCGCTTCCTCACTGCGCCTGAAAGGGACTGTTAGAATGGCATTGGCGTCAGACTCACACCCTGTGTGAGAAGCGTAATTTTTATAATGTATGTTCTAACTTCGTGGTGTGGAATCTTGAACTTGTTTTACTGTAACAGAAAATGTCGGTCTGTAAGTCCGAGCTTCCAGGCTCAGATGGAGGTCCATCCCATGATCTTCGGTTTACAAAACTGACGCCTTTGCCGCTTGGTCATTGCGCCTGAAAAGGACTGTTAGAATGGCATTGTCACCAGACCCACCACCCTGTATGAGGAGCGTAATTTTTGTAATGTATGTTGTAAGTACCTTGAGTGGAATCTAGAACTTGTTTTAGTTTAACAGAAAATACCAGTTTTTGATTCACAGCCTGTAGGCACAGATGGGGGCCAAACCCATGATCTTCGGTTTACGAGACCGACGCCTTGCCGCTTGGCCACTGCACCTGAAAGGGATTCTTAGAATGGCATTGTTGCTACACCCGCCTCCCCATTTGAAAAGCGTAATTTTTAGAACGCATGTTGTACATCCCTTGAATGGAAGCTAGAGCTTGTTTTAATTGAACAGAAAATGCTGCCCCTTCAGTCAGAGTCTATAGGCCCCCATGAGGGTCGAACCCATGATCTTCGCTTTATAACACCAATACTTTGCCGCTTCCTCACTGCGCCTGAAAGGGACTGTTAGAATGGCATTGGCGTCAGACTCACACCCTGTGTGAGAAGCGTAATTTTTATAATGTTTGTTCTAACTTCGTGGTGTGGAATCTTGAACTTGTTTTACTGTAACAGAAAATGTCGGTTTGTAAATCCGAGCTTCCAGGCTCAGATGGAGGTCCATCCCATGATCTTCGATTTACAAAACTGACGCCTTTGCCGCTTGGTCACTGCACCTGAAAGGGGTTGGTAGAATTGCATTATCGCCAGACTCTCCACCCTATATGAGGAGCGTAATTTTTATCAAGTTTCTAACTTGAGTAGAATTTAGAACTTGTTTTAATTTAACAGAATATATTAGTCTTTGATCCATTGCCTGTAGGTATAGGCAGGGGTCGAACCCATGATCTTCGGCTTGTAAGACCGATGCCTTATCACTTGGCCACTGCGCCTGAAATGGATTGTTAGAATGGCATTGTCGCCAGACCCACCACCCTGTATGAGGAGCGTAATTTATGTAATGTATGTTGTAAGTACCCTTGAGTGGAATCTAGAACTTGTTTTAGTTTAACAGAAAATACCAGTTTTTGATTCAGAGCCTGTAGGCACAGATGGGGGTCAAACCCACGATCTTCGGTTTACAACACCGACGCCTTACCGCTTGGCCACTGTGCCTGAAAGGGACTGTTAAAACAGCATTGTTGCCAGACCCACCACCCTGTATGAGGAGCGTAATTTATGTAATGTATGTTGTAAGTACCCTTGAGTGGAATCTAGAACTTGTTTTAGTTTAACAGAAAATACCAGTTTTTGATTCAGAGCCTGTAGGCACAGATGGGGGTCGAACCCATGATCTTCGATTTACAAGACCGACGCCTTTCCGCTCGGCCACTGCGCCTTAAAGGGATTGTTGACACAGCATTGTCGCCAGACTCACCACCCTGTATCCGGAACGTAATTATTGTAATGTATGTCGTAAGTACCTTGAGTGGAATCTAGAACTTGTTTTAGTTTAACAGAAAATACCAGTTTTTGATTCAGAGCCTGTAGGCACAGATGGGGGTCTAACCCATGATCTTGGTTTACTGAGACCGACACCTTGCCGCTTGAAAAGGGATTCTTAGAATGGCATTGTTGCTACACCCGCCTCCCCATATGAAAAGCGTAATTTTTAGAACGCATGTTGTACATACCTTGAATGGAAGCTAGAGCTTGTTTTAGTTGAACAGAAAATGCTGCCCCTTCAGTCAGAGTCTATAGGCCCCGATGATGGTCGAACCCATGATCATCGCTTTATAACACCAATACTTTGCCGCTTCCTCACTGCGCCTGAAAGGGACTGTTAGAATGGCATTGGCGTCAGACTCACACCCTGTGTGAGAAGCGTAATTTTTATAATGTATGTTCTAACTTCGTGGTGTGGAATCTTGAACTTGTTTTACTGTAACAGAAAATGTCGGTCTGTAAGTCCGAGCTTCCAGGCTCGGATGGAGGTCCATCCCATGATCTTCGATTTACAAAACTGACGCCTTTGCCGCTTGGTCACTGCGCCTGAAAGGGGTTGGTAGAATTGCATTATCGCCAGACTCTCCACCCTATATGAGGAGTGTACCTTTTATAAAGTTTCTATCTTGAGTGGAATCTAGAAGTTGTTTTACTTTAACACAATATATCAGTCTCTGATTCATTGCCTGTAGGTATAGGCAGGGGTCGAACCCATGATCTTTGGCTTGTAAGACCGATGCCTTATCACTTGGCCACTGCGCCTGAAATGGACTGTTAGAATGGCATTGTCGCCAGACCCACCACCCTGTGTGAGGAGCGTAATTTATGTAATGTATGTTGCAAGTACCCTTGAGTGGAATCTAGAACTTGTTTTAGTTTAACAGAAAATACCAGTTTTTGATTCAGAGCCTGTAGGCACAGATGGGGGTCGAACCCATGATCTTTGATTTACAAGACCGACGCCTTACCGCTTGGCCACTGCGCCTGAAAGGGACTGTTGAAACAGCATTGTCGCCAGACTCACCACCCTGTATCCGGAACGTAATTATTGTAATGTATGTCGTAAGTACCTTGAGTGGAATCTAGAACTTGTTTTAGTTTAACAGAAAATACAAGTTTTTGATTCAGAGCCTGTAGGCACAGATGGGGGTCGAACCCATGATCTTCGGTTTACGAGACCGACACCTTGCCGCTTGGCCACTGCGCCTGAAAAGGATTCTTAGAATGGCATTGTTGCTACACCCGCCTCCCCATATGAAAAGCGTAATTTTTAGGACACATGTTGTACATACCTTGAATGGAAGCTAGAGCTTGTTTTAGTTGAACAGAAAATGCTGCCCCTTCAGTCAGAGTCTATAGGCCCCGATGATGGTCGAACCCATGATCATCGCTTTATAACACCAATACTTTGCCGCTTCCTCACTGCGCCTGAAAGGGACTGTTAGAATGGCATTGGCGTCAGACTCACACCCTGTGTGAGTAGCGTAATTTTTATAATGTATGTTCTAACTTCGTGGTGTGGAATCTTGAACTTGTTTTACTGTGACAGAAAATGTCGGTCTCTAAGTCCGAGCTTCCAGGCTCAGATGGAGGCCCATCCCATGATCTTCGGTTTACAAAACTGACCCCTTTGCCGCTTGGTCACTGCGCCTGAAAGGGGTTGGTAGTATTGCATTATCGCCAGACTCTCCACCCTATATGAGGAGCGTAATTTTTATAAAGTATTTACCTTGAGTGGAATCTAGAACTTGTTTTAGTTTTACAGAATATATCAGTCTTTGATTCATTGCCTGTAGGTATAGACAGGGGTCACACCCATGATCTTCGGTTTGCAAGACCGATGCCTTATCACTTGGCCACTGCGCCTGAAATGGACTGTTAGAATGGCATTGTCGCCAGACCCACCACCCTGTATGAGGAGCGTAATTTTTGTCATGTATGTTGTAAGTACCTTGAGTGGAATCTAGAACTTTTTTTAGTTTAACAGAAAATACCAGTTTTTGATTCAGAGCCTGTAGGCACTGATGGGGGTCGAACCCATGATCTTCGGTTTACAAGACTGACGCCGTACCGCTTTGGCCACTGCGCCTGAAAGGGACTGTTTAAACAGCATTGTCGCCAGACTCACGACCCTGTATTTGGAACATAATTTTTGTAATGTATGTTGTAAGTACCTTGAGTGGAATCTAGAACTTTTTTAGTTTAACAGAAAATACCAGTTTTTGATTCAGAACCTGTAGGCACAGATGGGGGTCGAACCCATGATCTTCGGTTTACAAGACCGACGCCTTACCACTTGGCCACTGCGCCTAGAAAGGTCTCGTAGAAATATATTATCTCCAGAATCTCCACCCTGAATGAGGATCGTAATTTTTTTTAATGTATGTACCTTGAATGGAATCTAGAACTTGTTTTAGTTTAACAGAATATACCAGTCTTTGATTCAGAGCCTGTAGGCACAGATGCGGGTCGAATCCATGATCTTCGGTTTACAAGACCGACGCCATTGCCGCTTGGTCACTGCAGCTGAAAGGGACTGTTAGAATGGCATTGGCGTCAGACTCACACCCTGTGTGAGAAGCGTAATTTTTATAATGTATGTTCTAACTTCGTGGTGTGGAATCTTGAACTTGTTTTACTGTGACAGAAAATGTCGGTCTCTAAGTCCGAGCTTCCAGGCTCAGATGGAGGCCCATCCCATGATCTTCGGTTTGCAAAACTGACGCCTTTGCCGCTTGGTCATTGCGCCTGAAAGGGGTTGGTAGAATTGCATTATCGTCAGACTCTCCACCCTGTATGAGGAGCGTAATTTTTATAATGTATGTACCTTGAGTGGAATCTAGAACTTGTTTTAGTTTAAAAGAAAATGTTGGTTTGTAAGTCCGAGCCTCCATGCACAGATGGGGGTCGAACCCATGATGTTCAGTTTACAAAATGGATGCCTTGCTGCTTGGCTACTGCATCTAATTGGCACTTGTAGAATGGCATTGTCCTCAGACTCACCACCCTGTATGAGGAGCGTAATTTTTATAATGTATGTTGTAAGTACCTTGATTGGAATGTAGAACTTGTTTTAGTTTAACAGAAAATATCGTTCTTTGATTCAGAGCCTGCAGGCATAGATGGGGGTCGAACCCATGCTCTTTGATTTACGTGACCGACACCTTGCCCCTTGGCCACTGCGTCTGAAAAGTACTGTTACAATGTTATTGTCGCCATACTCGCCACCCCATGTGCAGAGCGTAATTTTTATATCGCATGATAGGGTCTATTCTCTCATGCGCTTAAATCGAAAAAAGCGCGTAGCTACGCGCTTTTCAGCCTACGCGTATTCTCCCCTTGACTTCAGTCCGTGCATTACGCGCCCCAAAGGCAGTTACATACTTCGGGCGGAGCAAGGCCAAAATCGGGGCGTTTCTCAGGCAAATACCACTTACCCGTATTTTCCCCCTGGCTTACGCGCTTTTTCTGTTAAGCACTTTTGAGGGCTGGATTAACGTCAAGCGCCAATATAAGACAAAATAGAATATTGCGTTTGATATAGGTTGAAGGCCAAGTTTTTAGATCTATTTTATTTTATGTAACATGGTAAAAGTTGAGACATTCAATATTCGATTGTTCATCCTTATTTCTCTACTACATTTCTCATAACCATAATAAATTATCAAACAAAATCATCACATGATATTTCCCAACAGCCTGTTCTCCAATTAGTTCAATTACAAACACATAGCAATTAATTAATACGAATATACGTAAGACCATCATTCAATCATGCCCTCAAAATCTAAAACCAAAATGCCAGTCCTGCATTTGCTTGGACTTTTGCGTGACTGGGAAAGAGTTAAAGGAGCGCACCGAGCTCGAAGACGACCACACATATATCAGCCTTGTTTGGAAATCCTGGGACAACAGACACCGAGTGCATCCAGCTCTTTCGTCTGAACCGTGAGGCAATCATCTATCTTTGCTGACTTCTGGATGAACAGCTATCCAGCCGCAGCAATCATCCACAAAACATACCCGTGGTCGTCATCATCAAGGTCACAACTGCGCTGTCGGTCCTAGCATCTGGGTCGTTCCAGAGAGTGGCTGGTGATGTCATGCACATATCACAGGCGTCTGTGTCAAGGTGTCTGAACAGTTCGTTGACGCTATGCTGCACCACATCAGCCATTTCATAAAGTTCCCCGAAACACCCGCTGAAAGACGGAGAGTTAAGGGGGGGTTCGGGTCGCCGGGTTCCCCAGTGTTATGGGAGCCATTGATTGTAGCTCCCTTCCACTCATGAGAATATGTACAGAGACCGTAGACGTCGGCACTGCATTAATGTTCAGGTTTTGTGCGATCATGATACACGCATATTAAGCATCTGTGCCCAATTCCCTGGCTGGCCCATGACGCCTATGTATGCGCAACAGCTTGAAATGCCAAAAAATTCAACAAATATTTGAAACCATATTAAGCTTGTTTCCAGTATTTATCACAATGATACTTTGAGTATAGGCAAATAAAAATGACCATTTTATGTAACCCTCCTTCATCCGTATCCACTCCAAGTTCTTCTCCATGCACTTCCACTGCAGAAAGAATGGCTGCCACCTTCCCTCCAGTGCAGTGAAATGCACAGGGGATGATGGTTGCCCACCACCTATTGCGTGCACGCTTCTCCGGTGTGCAGAGAGCCTGGCTTTTAGAGTTCCCCGCAGATCTCTCCATTTATGCTTTAAATCGGGGATACTGCGCTCACATCTCCCCACCGAAGCCACATCCAGAACGATTCACAGCTTTCTTCCTCGGATCAGCCTTCAGTGCCCCCTTGCCATACAACACCTCGTGGTGCCTCTTCACTGATTTCACCAATACCTCTAACTCCTCAGTCCTCATCTGTGAAATTTGGTTTTCTGCTTCGGCTCAACGTCGCCATCGTTGTCTTCATGTTCTATTAACAAATGTAACTGCCCTATGTTCGTGATAATCTAAAAAGTTGTGATATTCTCACTAGGGAGGAGATTGATTTTCTAATTGAGGATATCTGTATTAACTAACCCGTGTCTATGTAAATATGTTTTTTTTTAACCATTGATAATATTGTGTATTTTAATGTGTGAATAAAGATATTATTATATACTTTAAATTGAGCCCTACCCTGGCCAATACCAAAGCACTACCCATTTGTTAATCAATTTTAGCCAATAAAGAATAGCCGACATGGGAAGAATCATTATCAGTAAATGGGATAATTGATTATAATAAAGTACTAGGCTCAAGTTCAAGTGAATGTGTCGCTCAAATCAAATGGGACATAAAAGGCTATGGATATGGAATTGTGTGATTGTTGAGGCGGTTTGGGGGCAGGGGGATGACCGCGTGCGGGGAAAGAATCCTTTGTTTGTTAAAACGTTGCCATGTCCTTTAGTTGCAAACCTGACATCGGCGTAGTTTGAGATTTCAAGTGCACAATTTCTAAATGAGATCATATTAACTGTCTTTGGTTGTTATTTTTGTGAGACTAGAATGTTCTCTTTATTTGTCTTCTTCCCTGTCTTCCACGGAACAAACAGACTGGTGTAGGAGGGGCACATTTTCAATGCTCTGATTGCGCTGGTTGAGAAGCGCTAAATTCTTTAGCAATTGGTTATTTCATTATCGCGGCAATTTATTTGTTTTGCATAGCTTTGATGTCATGGTGGCTAGAATAAGAAATAGAAAAGAGATGTCTGCATTACTTCTTATAATTGGCACAGACATACATAGGCCTACTATTACAGTGGCAAATTCAAATTTAAAGTCTGGTTTGCGTTTTCCATAGACTACAACTGCATTTTCATGGTTAATCAGAAAATCCTTGTTACATGTTTTCCTGAGAGCCATAATCAATGAGCTTGGTACGGAGTCTGCCTGTCTTTTGGATTAGTCACACCTCTTTCATAAGGCCGCCTACATTCTGAGGTTAAGCGCTGTGGGCGTGATCGAAGCGCGTAGGGGAGAATACGCGTAACTCAAATGCGCGTAAAAAAGGACTTACGCGCAAATGGGAGAATAGACCCCATTGTGCATACCTTAAATGGAATCTAGAGCTTGTTTTAGTTGAACAGAAAATGTTGTTCTTTCAGTCAGAGCCTCCAGGCCCAGATGAGGGTCAAACCCATGATCTTCAGTTTACAAGACCGATGTCTTGCCACTTGGCCACTGCACCTGAAAGCAACTGGTAGAATGGCATTGTGGCCAGACTCACCACCCTGTATGAGGAGCTTAATTTTTATAATGTATGTGGTAAGTACCTTAAGTGGAATCTAGAACTTGTTTTAGAGTAACAGAAAATGTAGGTCTGTAAGTCAGAACCTCCAGGCACAGATGGGGGTCGAACCCATGATCTTCGGTTTACAAGACCGACACCTTGCCAAGTGGCTCCTCCACCTGAAAGGGACTTGAGGAATGGCATTGTCGCCAGACTCACCACCCCATTTGAGGAGCGTGATTTTTATAACGTATGTTGTATGTACATTGAGTGGAATCTAGAACTTGTTTTAGTTTGACAGAAAATATGGGTCCTTGAGTCAGAGCCTCCAGGCACAGATGGGGGTTGAACCGATGATTTTAGGTTTACAAGAGTGATGCCTTTCCGCTTGGCCACTGCACCTGTTAAGGACTGGTAGAATGGCATGGTTGCCAGAATCGCCACCCCGTATGAGGAGTGTCATTTTTATAACGTCTCTCAGTGGGTTTTAAGGCCTTATGAGTTCAAAAAAATTCTACTGGAGATTTTTCCTTGAAAATGGGTTGCCTTCACCAAACAGACTGACATGGTGAAGAAACGAAAAAAATCCGCTGGGGAATTTTTTGAGAAAAAGTGACTTTTTTGAAATTTTGATATTTTGAGATTTTATTACATAACCGATGGTCAAAATATTGGGCAGATGATTCCAATTAACACTTTACTGCTTTCTCATAGAAAAAAAGCAATTTGTCCCATCATTGTCAATTTATCCCCAATTGGTGGTTGCCATAGCAACCAATTAATTTTTCTTCTCTAAGGTACAATTCAGAAGAATCACTGGGCCATGTCAGTATAATTTCCCTTCCCATATTCCTGATCACACTAAACAGCTTTCCCCCTGTCATCAGTTACATCATGAGGCCCACATCGTAATTAATGACTGGGACATACATAACTTGGTCTATGCCAGGGGTGGCCAACCCTGGTCCTGGAGAGCCGCAGTCTCTGCTGATTTTTAGCTTGCCGGCCCTATGGGCCGATTAGCTATTGTCGTGGTGTGGCGTCCGTCCTCCGTCGTCCAGAACATTTTTTATCTGTAAATTTGCAGTAACATACTACTAGACCATATCTCCAGGCATTTTTCTCGGATTTTTGATTGAACCATTCTTGTCCGTTTTATGGGCCGTTGAAATTTTGGCTCCAATGTTAAAGATAGGACTGAGCAATTTTAAAAAATTATTTCTCAAAAACTGCGTAAAAAATTTTTTCAACTTACCTTGGTACCGTCAATGTACAGTGCGAGCGCCATTTTGATTGAATCGACTGAAGTGGGTCTATTGGGAGCACTGTACTTATTGAACATGCAAGATGGCCTGTGGAGGCCAAATGGTTGCAGATAGAGATTAAGTTTGTATTATCAACATATAGGAAGTCATATTTGACGTATATTCTGGCAATGTTAAATTTGACCACAGATGACTTTGAAAGGTCAAACTCAAGGTCAGGGGATATATTAACAATGTTAAAAGATATGACTTGAAATTTCAAAAAATTATTTCTCAAAAACTGTCAGATAAATTTTTTTCTAAATCCGGCAATCAACTCACCTTGATACACTTTATGTACAGTGCGAGTGCCATTTTGATTGAATCGACGGAAGTAGGTCTAGTGGGGGCGCTGTACTTTAACATTGGGTCTTATGGAGAATTGGCCAAATCGTCTATGGAAGCTAAATGGTTGCAGATAGAGATTAAGTTTGTATTAGAGACATATAGGAAGTTATATATGACCTATATTTTGGCTGTGTTAAAGTTGACCTCAGATGACCTTGAAAGGTCAAACTTGAGGTGAAGCAAAATGTTACAATTTTCAAAGGCTTCTAGGCTTGAAAACATTGAAGATTGGGAACATATGTGGGTAAACACTTATATGCAGTCATGTATGAAGTTTCATTTGGTGGCCTTGAACTTAACCTTCAGCGACCTTCGAAGGTCAAACTTCACATGGTGAACTTTCAATGACTTCTATCACCAAAACTATTACAGATAGAGCTTAGGTTTGTATTGTGGGCATATAGGAAGTCATGTATGAAGTTTCATTTGGTGACATTGAACTTGACCTTCAGTGCCCTTCGAAGGTCAGACTTCACATAGTGAAATTTCAATGACTTCTATCACCAAAACTATTACAGATAGAGGTTAGGTTTGTATTGTGGGCATATAGGAAGTCATGTATGAACTTTCATTGCATGGCCTTGAACTTGACCTTCAGTGACCTTCAATGGCCAAACTATACAGTGAAATTTCAATGACTTATATCAGCAAAATCGTTACAGATTGGGTGTAGGTTTGTATTGGAGACGTATAGGAAGTCATGTATGAACTTTCATTTGGTGACCTTCATATTGACCTTCGAAGGTCAAACTTGACCAAGAGAAAATTCAATGACTTCTGTCACTGAAAAGGTCACAGATGGAGCCCAGGTTTGTATTACTGACATAGGAACTCACATATGAACTTTCATTTGGTGACATTCAACTTGACAGTTGGTGACATTTGAAGGTCAAACTTGACATAATACAATTACAATGACTTGTATTGCCAAAACGGTCACAGATGGAGCCTAGGTTTGTATTAGAGACACATAGGAAGTCATGTATGAACTTTCATTTGGTGACCTTCGTATTGACCTTCAAAGGTCAAATGTGACCTAGTGAAAATTCAATGACTTGTGTCACTAAAATTGTCACAGATGGAGCCTAGGTTTGTGTTACTGACTTCTAGGAAGTCACATATGAACTTTCATTTGGTGACATTCTACTTGACTGTCAGTGACCTTTGAGGGTCAAACTCGACAGTGAAATAACAATGACTTGTATCACCAAAATGGTCACAGATTGAGCCAAGGTTTTGATGACATTTACGTTGTTTAAAGTCATATATGAAGTCCATTTGCTGACCATAACTTGACATTCTGTGACCTTTAAAGTTCACAGTTGACATATTGAATACATGTTGACATATTTCAATGAATTGTATCACCAAAACTGCTTCAGAGCTTAGGATTGTATTACAGAAGGTCTTATAAATGTATATGAACTTCTATTTAGTGACCTTGACGTTGATTTTCGTTAAATCCAATGTCAAACTTCACATTAAATTTTCATAACTTGTATCATCGCTGTAAGACTGCTTGCCGGTAAGCTACAGGACCCTTGGTCCTATTTTTGGTGTTACTCAGCACTCGATTGATTGATTAAAGTAGTTGATTACTCACTTAACTGATCTTACCTGGTGTCTCAGGTTTAATTTGGTAATAATGAGCCAATCAAGCAATTAGCAGGAACAACCCACAAGACTCCTAGAGCCAATTAAGCAGACTTGCAGGTTGTGACAGCAATCTACATGTTAACCAAGATTTGTCAATGTGGTTGGATATTTAGTGTAGTTGTAATGCAGACAAAGTAGAAGTACAGATAAGTTTATAGAACAGGGGTGGATAACGCTGGTCCTGTAGAGCCAGAGGGTGTGCCGAGTTTGGTTTTCTCCACCCGATTTAAACCTAAGACACCTGGTGAGATGAGTTAAGTGTGTAATCAACTGCTTTAATTCATCAATCAAGTGCTGAGTAACACTAAAAACCAGCAGACGCTGAGGCTTTCCAGGACCAGGGTTGGCCACCCCTGGTCTATGCCTTTCATTGCTGACAAAAAAGTCCTGATTAGGGTCGAGCATTTTGACTGTACAGCACGTGATATTCGAAGCAGGAATTCAACTCAAGAAAAGGCGCACATATCAAGATGGTACCTCCTCTGGTAAAGGATTCAGTGACAATGGTATGCGGAAACTCCTCCTTATAGCAGTACTGGAATGTGGTCTATTGTAAGTACCTTGAGTGGAATCTAGAACTTGTCTTATCTTTTCAGAAAATGTAGCACTTTCTATCAGTCTCAAGGCACAGATTGGGGTTGAAAAAACTATGCAAGGCACGCATAGTTACTGCTTGGCCACTGCCACTGCTAGGACAAATTGAAGGACAAATTGAAAACCAGGGTTCCAGACTTAATGCAGTGTGTAAGTAGTTAATTTGCGCAAATATACAGGTTTTTTTTTTAGGGTCCCCATGCCAGAAACTACAATATCCTCAAAATGTGTACCATCTACTACATGTTCATACTGTTATTCCAGTTCTTGGACTTGCACATCGCAAGATGTCGGCCCATAAGCTTTCGTTCTGAGAACAATGTCTTCCTCAAGTTTAATGGCAGGACTATGAGGTACCAATAAGAGTTGTCAGGTCTACCACACAGGCAGCAAGCATCAATAACCTGTTTTAGAGCTTTTTTTAAAAACATATTTTGCCATCCTGTGGGCCTTGTTGGGATTTTAACTCAGGATCTTCAGTTTATGAGAGTGAACTTGTGTCACGTGGCCCCTGGGCCTGTTGGCTGATCTGCTCCTGTATAATTAAGCTTCTCTTTCTCTCCCTCAGTGCCGTGGGAAAGACCTGCCTTCTCATCAGCTACACCACCAATGCATTCCCCGGAGAGTACATCCCCACCGTGTGAGTACTGCCTCTTACAATGTTTTTTATTTTTTAATTTGGCTTCTCCAATCCCACCCGGATCTGGAATGCCCAATTTGAGAATTATGTACAAGGCTTGCTCGTATGCGACCCCTTGTTGCCAGCTCAGGAGAGAGACTGTTCACGGCTCTCCTCCGAAGCACGCGCCTGTCAGCCCGTGCATCTTTACACTCATTGGTTGAAACTTTTGCAAGTTCAGAACGAGGGCGGAGGATACCCGAACATGAGCGAGCCCAGAATCTCACCGATGAGCGCCTGGCTGGCCAACAGGAGGCGCCTGAGCAATGAACAAGGCAATCATTTTTAATATCCCTTCCCGGCAGTCCCTTCCCAATTTGCATACCCGCAGCGCTATGGCCAGTTGTGCGCTGCCCTGAAAAAGCTGCCGGCCACTGCCAGTTGGTACGACCGGCGATCAAACCCGCACCGTGGTGGTCACTACAGCTCTGCAAAAGCGGCGTCTTAACCGAGTGAGCTAACCTGGCAGCTAAACGCATTTTTTTTTTTAAATGGGTGTCCCTTGGTTGCCTTGGAGTGGTGGTGTCTGCATTCCTTGAATTAACAATCCATCTCCTCTTGCAGGTTTGATAACTATTCAGCCAATGTGATGGTGGACGGGAAGCCCGTAAACCTGGGCCTATGGGACACTGCGGGACAAGAGGACTATGATAGACTCCGCCCTCTGTCCTACCCACAGACGGTATGATTTGACCCTTCACCTTTACTGCGGCCACAGGACGCCATTGCTAGTTTGCTGCTGTTCTGCCTCTGTGGTCGAAAGTGTCGACTGACGGCGTTTCCTTTGTTTATTGCGCAGGATGTGTTCTTGATATGCTTTT